ACTGATTTGCAACGTTTGTTTTGAACTACACAAAGCAATTGGTATATATGTTTCTGTTTCACAGTATAAAATTGAAGAGATTTGGATAGTTCGGGTGCAGGGGGCAAGGGGGGGGGGAAGCTGTTGCGTAAAAGCAAAGTTGCAAAATTCAATCAAAGCCTTCAGCTGCCCAGGAGTGCTTTTTCTCTGTGGACAATGCAGTGGTTGAGGAGTCCTGAAGTGTGAATCAGGAAACTGTAGTAGAATCAAGAGCTGCTTTTTAGGGCTCGCCCCGTGCCCTATGTTGAACTTTCTAGCACATCATCAAATGAGCAAGAAACATGCCAGCAAAAACCAAGAATGGTACCCCTTCAACCCCACCAGAAACCCAGGGCACCATCTAGCCAAACTGGTCAAACTTTGTCCCACGCCAATCCACCAGCCATAATAAGGACAAACAGATAGAACTGTCCCCATAAAACAAATAAACCACGGCTCATGTTGAGCATTGGTTGTTTCATTTTCTCCTGCTGCCTAAGATGAATGCCTATCTCAGTGACTTCTTCTGGAAATGATATTTTCATATATTTTGAAAGATTCAGCTTTTCACTTCACTTCCTGTTAATCTTTAAAAAGTCTGAAAAACCAAAAAATAAATAGAGAATAATAATAATAAAATAAACAGAGATAGAGTGGCTAGTTTATTAGGTTTTGTTTCCTCCTACATAATCTTGAACTAAATCCTTGCTGAATGAAACTGAAATAGAACAGGTTTGCACAATGATCTTGTCTGAGTTGATGTAGATGCATTTGGACTTGAGAAGAATTTGTATGTATAATAATTTTTCCTTCACTTTAATGAGGGCTCTTATGCCTCTAACCCCAGCAAAGGTGGAGAGCTGACTTTTTGCATGTATCCAGCTACTTTTCATGCCATACCCAAAATGAAGGTTTGTAACTCAACGTGTATTTCTGCTGTGAACTCACTCGTCTGAAAGAAAAGAAGAAACACTAATACCTTCATAATGGTACATTCATAATTTCAAACATCAATGCTGTGTTGTTTTAGGAAATTTTGAACCTGATGTTCTGATCAGATTTGAGATCTTTATTCTTGAGAATACATAGGTGGGAATCTCAATAACTTGCATCCTCAAATGTATGTGAAATCTCATATGCTTCCTATCTTTGTATTTGCATTCATTCAGCCACAGTCACCACTCACAAAGCACTTTATATATGCTGATGGCCTTGGCCTAACAACACAAGCAAAAGACTTTGAAACAGTAAAAAATCAACTTACTAATGCCTTGCAAGATCACTTCAGCTACTATAACAATAACCACCTGAAAACTAACCCTGCCAAGACACAAGTGTATGTTTTCCACTGACATAACTGTGAAGCCAACAGGAAATTGAAAGTTACCTGGGAAGGCCAAGAGCTCGAACACTGTTACCATCCTGAATATCTTGGTGTCACCTTAGATCGAACAGTAACATTGAGGAAACACTGCATAAACACCAAGCACAAAGTAGCTGCACACAGTAACATCCTGCAGAAACTTACTGGCAGTGCATGGGGAGCAGACCCAAAATTAATAACATCAGCTCTGGCCTTGTCAGTTGTTGAGTATGCCTGCCCTGTTTGGCATAAGTCTGTTCATGCGAAGCAGGTGAACATAGCACTTAATGAAGCATATAGAATAATCACGGGATGTCTCAAACCTACACCTGTTGATAGACTCTACAAGTTAGTTTGCATCCCCCCCTCCCCCCCCCGCTCCCGATGTGCGACAGGAAGTTGCTGGTTACTGAGTGAAGTAAGGTTGAACAATGTGAAAGCCAACCACTGCATGGCTTTCAGTCTCCTCCCAGTTGACTCAAATCAAGGGAAAGCTTCATGTGAACCACGACTCCTCTTAATATTTCCCAGCAACAGCAAGAGCATCCCTCTGGGCAGCTAAACTAAGAAATCTCAATTGGATGGTCCCCACAAGGGGTTGCCTCTAGGGACAAACCAAGAATGGGCCACTTGGAAGTCCCTGATCAGACTCAGAAGTAGAGTGGGCAGATCAAAGGACAACCTGGCAAAATGGAACTACCTCAAAAAATCCTCCACCTTGTGTGAATGTGGAGCAGAACAAACAACTCCATATCTGAATGCTTGTCCACAATGCCCTGCCTCATGTACAGAGGAAGAATTGTTTAAAGCTACAGACAATGCAACCGCTGTTGCCTTGTTTTGGTCAAAAATTATTTGGTCGCTTGTGCTCCTTCTATTTTTATCAGTTTTATACTTATGTATGCAATGCTTTTGACACAAAATAAATTTGCATTTGTGATCACGAAGAAACATCTACATTCTGATGATTTCTACATTCAGAATACAATCTGTATTTCCGATCCACAAGTTGACGTTCAATAATACTTAGCTAATACTTAGCTTTCTAAACTCTACACCTGCAACCCAAGGTTTTCTTATAAAAACAAAGGCTCCGATGCACACATCCAATTACCAGGTAACAATTAAAAAGCCAGTCTTTTTCTGATTGACTTCTAAGAATTTTCTAACCTACATCAATGTTAGCATAATGCTCAATACATGATAAAGGAAGTAGGACTTTTGTTGAAACCCTTTAAAGTTTGTACAAAAGTCTAATGGATGGCTCACAATTTTTTATCCATCTCTCAGTAACTGCAGCAAACATAGCATTGTCTATGTTTGAGCTACTATTATGTAGTGGGATCAATTTAAAACCACATCATCTCCAATAATACTGAGCTGTCTTTACAATACTCGGCCACCTCAGAGACCTAGCTCCTTGCCCCCGATCTGCACCTCTGCTGCCCTCACTCTTTCTCCAACCCCAATACCAAATTTTCTAATACTCAATTGCTACACAGCAGTTGTGTTCTCATCACACCATTCTTATGCTTCTGTCATCCATTTCTAAGATGCAAGGATTGCTTCAGGATTCTGTGTTTTTCATCTGCACATAAACTGGGTATCATGGCCACAATCTACTGAAAGATGGTGGAGTGGAATACTCTGTAAACGTAGTAGTAATATATCCCCACACTGGATGTTGTAAACATCTAATAAAGATGGGGATGTCTCATTGCAAGAACATCAATAATGTCAAACTGATTGCATTACTGTTCATCATGTGGAGGTGGAGGCTCCTTCTTTGGAGGCTTTTAAGCAGAAGCTGGATGGTCATCTGTCGGGGGTGCTTTGGATGCGATTTTCCTGCTTCTTGGCAGGGGGTTGGACTGGATGGCCCACGAGGTCTCTTCCAACTCAATGATTCTATGTGAAAAGCTTGACCCAAGTGAGTCTTGATCAAAGTTGACATTATTGGTGTAGACATTGTTTCACATTCCTGCTGCTCATACAATGAGGCATCTCTGATCCCATTGCCCAAATGGAAGACTTCTTTTCCCCAGTGCTGATCATCATGTTCACAAGGATGCTTTGACATTTGGGAATCTCAAACCACAGTTCATAACTTGGGCTTTACATCACTATGTGACTGCCCAGGTTCTCCTTTGTCCCAACATGAGAAGGTGCTGAAACCTACCTACCACCTTTCAGTTGAATCATACTCTAATCCAAACACCTGAAGAGAATGGCTAATGATATTCTCATTATTCAGAACATGTTGAGAAACATCTCAGCTCCTGCACTCAGTCATTTGAGTAAACAATCACAAATTATCCTTGAGCTATCACCAGGAATGGAGATAGACACCTCATTAAAAACAGTAATTATCTCACACATGGTGCAATCCAGAGAAATCACAACTTGTAAAGATTGGCTGTCAAAATCTAGGTGTCTGTTGCTTTGAATATTAACTTTAATTGATGGGGTCATGCACCGAAGTCATTTTAAAGCTTTTTACATTCATAGATCCCTCTCCAGGCCAACTTGACTGACATGAATTCTTCTACACTTAGAATCATAGAATCATAGAACTGGAAGAAAACTCATGGGCCATTCAGTCCAACCCCATTCTGCCAAGAAGCAGGAAAATCCCATTCAAAGCAATCCTGACAGATGGCCATTCAGCCTCTGCTTAAAAGCCTCCAAAGAAGAAGCCTCCACCACACTCTGGGGCAAAGGGTTCTACTGCTCTTGATGAAAGGCTTGTGGGGCATATTTTAGGATATACACATAAGTCACACTGATCAAATCTGTTGCACCTTTGGATCTTATTTCATTAACTGAATGTGTGTCCAAGAAAATAGGCAATACAGATTTGGAAGTCTGAATAGTAGGATAAAATAAGCAGTCACCAAGGAAATTACCTTTCTGTGCCAATCAGTAAGATAGTTCTATAATAAAGAAAAGAGTCTGTTGCTATGTACTACACTGTGTATTTTCTATCTTAGAAGCTCTTCTGTATTGCTTTGAAAGCTTTTGTCAAATTCAAAGTGCTGGTATGATGACCTATGAAGCCCTGTATAGCTTGTATTCCAGCTATTCGAAGGACAATATTTCCATTTATGGGCCCTTTAAAGCTTTGAGACTGGTCAGAGTGGCTGTCTTTTTCAGGCAAGCAGATCTGCCCCATTTCCAAATTCAAAATATATGGTGCACTTTTATCTAATAAGTTTTCAGTTTTAGTGGCATACCTTTTTAATATGAGAATATTATTTCAATTTATTGCTTAATCCCATATAAATTTTAAACTTTAGCTTTTTGCATGTTTTAGTTATATATATTTCTACAGCACAAACTTTGCATCTGTAGGCAGAGGTGGCCCTAGGTAATTTTCAACGGTAAGCAAACAGTATTTTGGTGCCCGCCCCCCCAACCAATCATTGATATATATTTTCTGTTCATCGTGGGAGTTCTGTGTGCTATATTTGGTTCAATTCCATCATTGGTGGAGTTCAGAATGCTCTTTGATTGTAGGTGAACTATACATCCCAGTAACTACATCTTGCATATGTCGTCTATTTTCCCCCAAGAGCAACTCAAGAGTGCCCCTGGCAAAATCAACTATACTGCGAATGCTTACTTCACATAATGGGTTGAGCTGCCTCTGTCTGTAGGACATGCAGATGCAGTTTCATTTATGTGCATCTGATAAAGTATGTAATCTCTAGCCATTTACTAGATTCTCCAAGTGATTCAGTAGTATTCTTCCACCAGAACTTTACCATAGAGCAGGCATGGGCAAACTTTGGCCCTCCAGGCATTTTGGACTTCAACTTCCACAAATCCAAACAACTGGTAGCCTGTTATGAATTGTGGGAGTTGAAATTCAAAACACCTGGAAGGCTGAAGCTTGTCCATGCTTGCCATAGAGCAATGTTCAATAGGTTCCTTATTGCCCCGTTTTGCATATCCACGCAAAGTTCTAGAAAGTACTACCTGTGGATATAGTAGCCATGCTGTACCTGTATCTCTTTTGTACTTTGTACAAATTACCTTGACTCTAACTCTTGAGAAAAAGGCATAATATAAAATAATTGACTCATTTGATGGGTGTGTATGTGCCACCAATTACTCTGTCACAGTGGAATAGTTTCCTTTGAACATTTTCAAGAGGACCAATATGTGAATGGCAAAAGTATGCAGGCTATTGATCTAACCAGGATCCTTGGGCACTCAGGACAAGTGAGCAGTTTTCAGGGACCAGCAGACCCTTCATCAAGGATGGTGTTTGATATATGATTTTCTTCCTTCTTCTCATTTAGAGACACTTTCATTGACTGGACAATGCCTGCAGGAGACCATACTCTCAATATGAGACATTATAGTCCTTTTTTGGACTAGTCGAAAGGGGAACATCTCTCATAGTATCACCCCATAAAATTGATTGGCAGCAGACAGAATGAAGAACGTCTTCATCCTGTGGACAGCTTTGGAAAAGAACTATAAGCCAGAATTTCTGAGAGTTCAAGTGCATCATGAAACAGCATGCTGGAGTGCAACATCTTCTACTGAAGCTGAGAGAAGCCTACCAACTTAGGAGGACACAGGTCTGGTGACATGCTGTATACACCTTTCCAACACCAAGGTGCTTTCTTCCCTTCTCCAGCACATCCTATTTGAGATGGACACCTCACTGTGCCTACTGGTAGAGCCAGCCCTGGCTCCATATGGAGAGCCCAGTATAATGCATGTAGATGTGATATAGATATGTGTGCTTCTTGCTTGTCTCTGTCCTTTTTCCACTAGGGACCTCATTCAGAGCTTAGAAGAGTGACTTTTCTTTGCTTGACAAATTCCATAATATGTCAGTCAGCAGGATTTCTTAATGCTATAATGTGTCCCCCCAAAAAAAGTTTCCCTTTGAAGCTCTCATCTCAGATCAACTGATTCAGCCTTTCGGGCAGTTCCTAGAGTTGGACTTACCTGGGCAACTCCTGTGATTAACATCCACACTTCTAGCCACATGTTGGATGGTCCACCAAAACTGATGGCTATGTAAAGCAGTCTCTATGCTTAGGCAATTTCGAGCAGCTTCTGTCCAATCCTATATTTACAAGAAAGTGGACTCTAAGGTAACAAACACATCCTCAAAGGCATCTCCTACCTTTGCTCACTCTTCTGAACAATCCATGATGAACAAATATAGAGAGGAAACAAAACCGAAGCATAGCCTTTAAAACATCCTATAAAACAAAACAAAACAAAACAAAACATTGTCTGTGCGTATTGTGGGAAGGGAGGATCTCTAGTAAAGCTTTAAAAAAAACTTTGAAATACTCACGGTGCTTCCCAAAGTTTAGAAAGGTAACATTTATGGACTACAACTCCTAGAAATCCCCAGCTTTGTATCTGGGGGATTCTGGGAATTGCAATCCAAAAGGCTCTTATTCCTATGTTCTGCTTACCCGCTTAGCCACACCACCTTGAGAACTGAACTAGAGGGAGCCCACAGCCTCCTGTATTGCAGTTTCCTCTGATTGACAGAGGCTGGTACTCTTGTCTCCCAATCAAAAGACATAGTGGGAGGGACTTGATGGGAAGGTGCTTACATTGTCTATCTGCCTCCTTGGAGAGGCTGGTCAGGAGAACAGTCCCAAATGGCTGTCCTCTTTCATAACAAAAGAACTTTGAGCCTGATCAAAGTTTCAAGCTGGCAACATCAATGCAAGAATTGTCCATAAAAATGCATGAATCTCACTTGGAAACATAGCTATAGCTCCACAATGTCACTAGAAAGAAAATCTTCACCTCAGCATTTGCCCTGATCTGGGAATTATAAAACAGCACTCCACAAAATATTATTGTTATTATTATTATTGTTATTTGTTTGCTTGTTTGTTTGTTTGTTTTTTGCTACTCCATTATTGGCTGGCAACATGGTGAAATAGTCAGGAAATCCTCCTTGATTTCTGTAGCTCTGGAAGAGAATCCAATGTTAACAAAGAAATGAAATTAGATACTTAACTGAAGAGATTTCATTTTGTTTCCCTCATAAACATATCTGTTGGGCAAAATGTCTATTAGAAAGCCCTCGGTGACTTTTGTCAATGGCTGCAACACGGCAAGAACTGAGTTGATCAACGCGTGGTCCACTGCCATCTACGTAACTCATTTTCACCAAAGCAAAAAGTTTCGTAGTTACACAACAGGTTACTAATATGGGTTGAGATCTTTGTTTTTTAAAAAATGAAAATCTTCAATGGACACACACACACAAAAATAGGAGCTGGATTGTTTGGTCCCAGGTCTTAAAAGTCTGTTAGAAAATGTACATTCAATGTTTTGGTCTTTCATGTCTTGATAAAAGGTCAAGGTTCACTTAGGGGTTAAGGAATCCAAGTAAACAAACACTGGACAACTGCTTAACCTTGACTTCCTTTCCTCCCTCCTCACCACAGGATGTGTTGAGAGGGTCATCGTAGACACTAATGCAAAGCACTTAGTATGTAAGTAATTTCAGAGACTCTTTATAAGCCCTAGGAAATGGGTTCTGTGTGTCTGTGTGTGTAGCTGTGTTTCTCTTTTCCTTTTAAAAGCCCATGTTTTTAAGGCCACAAAAATCTGCTAAAAGTTTTATTTTGTATGTGTGTGTTGGAAAGAGCATAATCCATCTGTCATTTCTATTTTCTCTTCCACATTTCCCCCCAAAAATGAGCCATTACTTTCACTGTGTCTATCAACACTGGAGAACCCGGAGGCTTTGCCTCCCCTCCCTATTGACCTGAAGCTGTCGAGATCCGGGGTTGAATGTCAACTACATTCACAAAGAAGAAGAACTCTGAGCATAATCTCTTATAATAAGTGAGTCATATTTCGGTGAGGAGGGCATACAAAGGGCAGATTCAGATGCTGGGGAACTGGGCGAAGCACTCCCGGAATCAACAGAGTCCCTGAAAGGAGAGGGTGGCGTTAAAGCCACCAAATCTTCCAGCTCTGGCTTCGCCACTGTTGGAGTTTCCATTGAAGGGCCTTCTTTGATGCTGCCGCAAGATGGCTTGCGTGATGACTGGGATGCTCCGTTGACCTCAATAGCAGGGAGAGGCTGTATCTCTGCAAAAGTTGTCATGGTGGTTGGAAGCTGGATCTCTCTTGGGATCAGGTAGGAAGAACACAGAGGAGTTGTCCCCATGCTCCCCTGCGCTGGAGTGGAAAGCATCATGGAGTTGAGTTCACTGATATTGGCAGTGAAACGTGTCACCACATTGCTGATTTGGTCCATAAGAGAACCTTGAGAGGAGCTGCTCTGCTGGGCTTGCTCAGACTGGAACGTTGGGGCATCGTCTTCAGTTCGGCTGAGCGAGGCAGTCCGCTGGCTCACCGTGCTGATAGGGGAAGGGGTCTGAGCTCGGTACTGAGCTGGGTAGTGTTCTTCTGCCTCCGAGACATCGTATAGTGTTTTGGCACTGGAATCGGGAAAGTTTGGGCTAAGAGTGTTGCTACTGCTGTGTCGACTACCGTCTGTGCTTTTAGAGAAAGGCTTGATGACGGCTGTTTGGTTGGGGTTCTCTTTCTTGTTGATGTGAACGGAAAGTCGTTGCCAGAGATGGGCTCCTCTGCTCGTGGTCTTCTCGTTCTGGGCCCAAGTGACTGATTTCCCATTGGAACTGCAACATGGAGAAGAGTAAAGAAGAGAAAGAGAAAAGAATGAAGAAGAATTTAAAGTATTGTTGAAGGCTTTCATGGATGGAATCACTGGGTTGTTGTAGGTTTTTTGGGCTGTATGGCCATGTTCTAGAAGCATTCTAGAACATGTCATACAGCTCAAAAAAACCTACAGCAACCCAAGAATTTAAAGTCACTCTTCAGTTAAGAGTATCAGTGGACTTAGCATTCTTCAACTATAGCTTGAAAAAGTTTTTAGAGTTTTAGTGCCTCATCGAACTACAAACCCTAGGATCTGATAGAATACAGCCAACACACTTGAAGTGGAATGCATGTGTTAAATAAATGTGTAATGTGAAAGGGGCCTCTTTTCTGTGCTTCAGACCATAGAAAGGTTATGGATGGTCCTACTTCAATGCATTCTAAGAACAAAGATCAAGAGTCTTTGGGGATGACTATCTCAATAACTAATTATGATGCTAAATTTCATTGTAATTTTTTTTTAAAAAAAACATTTATATTCTGCAATTTTCACCCCGAAGGGGACTCAGGGCGGAGCACAGCATATACACGGCAAACATTCAATGCTGGGACACAAATTCATATACGCACACATAAACATTAAAAACAGTTATCTCAACATTAAAACACACCAATTAAAACCGTCCTAGTCATCAGCGTCAAATCTAATTGGCGTGGTAATATTTCCTATTGCTGCTTTATTGCCCTGTCCTGAAAGCTTGGTCCTACAGCCAAGTTTTTACCATCCTTCTAAAAGACAGGAGGGAGGGGGCCAATCTGATCTCACCAGGAAGGGAGTTCCATAGCCGGGGGGCAATCACTGAGAAGGCCCTGTCTCTCATCCCTACCAATTACCATGGCAACTCTGTAGTTTGTAGTTTGTGAGGCACCGGAATGATCTCGCTGAGAATTTTAAATATACCTCCCTTCACTGCAAATACCAGAATTCCATGGGAGTTTATCTTGGCAGTTAAATTGCAGTACTATAAATATATATGGTGAATGGGTGCTGGGTCATAAGAGCAGACAGGGATAGAAATCATGTGGCCCTCAAGGTGTGTTGGACTGCAACTCTCACCATTCCTCCTATTAGCTATATGTCTCAGGGTAATGGGAGCTACACTTCATGTCTTTGGACTTGGCTCTAAGTTTCCAGTGTTCATGAAACATCTCCAGATGGGTCCAGATTCTCCAGTATTGGTTGTCTCAGCTCTAGGCATGATGAAAGGACTGGAAATTCCCAGCTCAGCTAGCAGAACAGTGATTGCAACCATTTGCAAGACTTAATTGGCCTCTTCCATCAAAACAACAATAACTTCACAGTTTCCTTCTATTGCATTATTTTACAAAGGTTAGCAAACATGTTGATCTTTAGATATTTCCCTAGCTTTTTACCAGCATCTATTTTTCCTGTGAAATGAACATATCAGTTTACCCAAAGGATTCCCGCAGCCTGAAAGCAGTAAATCAAATCAATACATCAGATAATCAATCAAATTCTTTATTGCAGCCAGCAGACCAAAGGTAGCCTTATTCTGCTTTTCTATGTGTCCCTTCCAGTGGTTGTGTGATGCTAGAGCTCCCATGCTGTTCTGGTCTTCATCCACCTTCTGGGTGGAAATATGTAGGCTAGATTAAAAAATCCCTATCCTGTCTTCTTGAGGAAGAAAGACTAATCCATTTATTTCTCCTCGATCAAGGAATGTTCCCTTTGGCTAAGATTTCTGTCATAATTTTCCAAGCAGGAAAATATGTTCTTTGTATGTGTCTGTGAATGACATGCAGTGCACATCTTTGGTATTCAGTGCATAACACTTCAATAGCATTACCAGGAGCTGTCTCTAGAGCTCAAGTTTTGGCCCTGAAATCTCTGAATCATGGAATCATAAAATCATAGAATCGTTGAGTTGGAAGATGTGGGCCAGTCCAACCCCCTGCCAAGAAGCAGGAAAATCACATTCAAAGTACCCCCAACAGATGACCATCCAGGCTCTGCTTAAAAGCCTCCAAAGAAGGATAGAACAAGTTTTGGAGGGTGACAGAAATGATCTTTGCAAATGCTTGTTTTTGGAGACAGTTTACTGGGTGTTTTTACAACTATACTCCAGGGCAGAGAGTTCCACTGTTCTTCCTAATGAGTTTGGAATGATCCTGAACTGAATATAATTCAGGATCATGATTCCTACCTTGATGGAGTTTAGAGCACTATTGCCTAATGTTTGTGATAAGCAATTCCATTACACATCTCTCATGACTTTTGGGGAGGTTAGGTGCACAGGACCCCCCATCGAAATGGAAAAAACACAACTGCAAAATTCTAGATAGATGTTTTCTCTAGGAATCTCTAGGTCTTCCAGGACTTTCAGATGGTCAATCATAGCCACACTGGAAGCCCTAGAGATTCCTAGAGAGATCATAGTAATAACATCTGTGAATAATTAAATCAGCAAATGTTATACCTGTTGGCTATAATTGCAGTCTGGGATTTTGTTTATTTTTATTTTAAAAGAGAGCTTATAATACTCAGATGATATTATCTTTTGGTTAACAATGATTCTGGTCTCGTTGGGAGCTAACTGTTTAATTACAGACTACCTGCTAGACTCTGTAGAAGTGTGACATTTAATAACTGGTGGTGTCAGACTGAGTCTCCAGTTGGAGACTGCAATCAGAAACTGGGCATTTTGCCACTCAAACATATAGAATGTGAGCCAATGTGTATTTCATTACAGCTCCCCATGTCACATTCATGTAGCACATTTAGCCTCTAGCAATGGAAGCATTTCCAGAAATCCAAAGGCAGAAAGAGAATTTTGTTTCTGCCCCTGTTCACTATGGCCTCAAGAACCATTTGTCACTCATGTTACCCATAGCAGCCAGGATGGAGCGTTTTACATGAGAGCCAGTCAGATCCATCGCTGGCTTTTTCTTCAAGGTGGAACCCAGAAATGACATATGACAAATAACATGAAATCCAACATGCTTTCTCAAGCATTAAGGTGTTCACTTCTGTATTTCTAAGAAGAGGAAACCGATCCTCCCAAAAATAGGAATGAAGAGGCTGCTGATCTGCATAAAATCAGTGCATATTATTTTATGTGTATAGAGGCAGACGTGATTTGGACAGAAATGCTATAGATTAAATCGAGAGCTTGGAATTTTCAATTTTTGGATCACAGTGCTTAAGAAACCTTACCCATTGAGGATTCTAGGTAGTATGATCCCAAAAGGACATTTTCCAAGTCCTGATTGCATCATAGTCTATTGAGCCTGCTGTCCACATGTAAAAGGTTGACAGCCCTCCTTGAGGACCTTTTTATATATGGTTCTTTACAGTACACCAGATTTGGACTACAAAGCCCTTTGAATATAGGATAGGTTCTCAGAGAAGAGAACAGACATCCCATAATTTCTGTCTCTGAAAGGAGGTTGATGCTATTGATAAGATTTCAGTTGGGCTCTGCCCCATGCTAGGGCATTTGACTTAGGTGGCTATTGCAGCAATCCTCTGAACATGCCACTTGTATCTTGTCCCATTACAAGGACAGTTTTAGCTTGGTGGGATGAGTACATGGTTTATACTGTTCCTTCAAGGCTGCTACTTTCCAGATCTTAGGTAGACTCCAAGAGGTGTCATGGTTTGCATGTTGGTTTAGGAACAGAACTCTAGGACACCAGGGTTCAAATCCCTGTTTAGCCACAGAAACTCAATGGGTGACCTTGGGCAAGTCATGCTGTCGAGCATCACAGGCATTCAAAAGCACCTCCTTGCCCTGAACAAATTTTGCAAGAAAAAAACCACCATAGTTTCACCTTAGGGTCACCATAAACCAGATATGACTTGAAGACACCTAGCAACAAATAACACGTAGGCTACCTTCCTTTGTATCACCAGTGTTGAGGAAGGTTAAACCATCAGTTCTTCCATATTGGGAAAAGGCACCATCTTGTTCTCTACTGCAGGCAGTAGTGTCCTGGGAAAATTCTGGCTAATTGTTCTTAGTTACTAAGGATTTCATCAGACAGACTTCTGGCTTCATTTCCTTGCAAGGGACACTTGTGTAGCTCCATTTCTGGAGCACACGGAAATCATCACATGATGTAAGGGCACTTCGGGTGGGACTCTGCAAGACTCTGTTTCTGCAGTGCATGGAAACAGATCCTAGAAGCTGTTTTCAGGAGTTGGGTGATACCTAATTCCAAGTGGCAGAAAGTGGCAGAAATAAGGGGAAAGGCAGGGAATTGTGCATTAAGCATGTGGGATGGCTGGCCACTCCAGAAGACAGGGAAAGATGGGAGGGAATGGGGTAAGATGTTTCCCTCTGTGAACATATTTTGGAAATTATGCCACAAGGAAAACTAATCTGTCTCTCTAATACTCACATCCTCTATGATGAAAAGATTTGAATTTGCACCATGTCATAAAACTGATTTGGCAAAGCAACTTACTTCCTTTTGAGGCCATCATTCCAAAGAACACCAATGGAAAATACGACATGGCAGGCACTGCACCAATATGAGACCAATCCATTTATGATGTTGATTGCAATGCACTTTTGAGCATGAGAAACAATCAACTGTCAGCTGCCCACTAATCGTGTTCCCCTTCCATCATATAAAATCAATTATGCAATGGGATGTTTTATGAAGCTGTCAAAACAGAGAGAGCTCTTGATAGCACTACCATGATTTCATCTTGAAATTATTGACTTAATTAAATGCAACAAATAAGCCACTGATTAATAATTCATGTTTGATTCACCAATAACCTACATTCTCAATGAAGCATTGTGTCTGCCATGCTAAGTTGCTGGAGCTGTAGATCTTAAATTATCCCCATGTTGCCCACATTAGTATGGAAGGGAAATAATTATAACGGTGCAAGTTAAATCTTGGTTCCTGTGTGAAGAAGGCCAACGTTTTCTTCTTTTCTAATGCCAGTTCTCCAAATGGACCCTTCAGATGAACTGAATGTCAACTGCAAGAATTCCTAGCCAACAGTGCCAATGGTTTGAGGAAATTGGAGTTGTAATACTGAATATCTGGAGGATAAAGTATCTCTGCTCCCTTCTTTGCCTTCTTTGCCTATATGCATTGAAGATAAGGACATTTCTTTCACAAAAGGTTCAGGAAGTGCAGTAGTGAAGACACCCCTCAAATTAAGGACTACAGAATTACATTGCTAAAAACCTGTTATAAGTGATAGTCATTGGAACAAACTTTGCCCTATGAGATTCTTGCATGAAATGTTCCGGAAGCCCCATTCATTTTAGACACATTTATTTCCATCTAAATGGAACCCCACCCCCATTCCTACTCCATTTTTCTAGCTAGCAGGCTGTTTTTGAGCTTTACCAAAATGGAATTTATTGCAGCATTATTATACTAATTCTTCTGTGAGGAAAAATAATAAACAAAATGAAGATTGTGTTGTTGTAGGTCTTTTCGGGCTATATGGCCATGTTCTAGAGGCATTCTCTCCTGATGTTTTGCCTGCATCTATGGCAAGCATCCTCAGAGGTAATGAAGATTGTGCATACAAGAGAGAAGAGACAAATATATTTCCCCCAAAAGCTGTACTATCTAGAGATAGATTAATTAGTGTCTGCATATATTTTTCTACCCCAACAAGTTGCTCTGTATTCATTAACTAAATTGCTTTTTCAGAACAAACTGATCTAGTTAAAGTTAGAAAGAAACACAACAAAAAAGAGGGAACAAGAGAGAGAGAGAAACTGGGGGTGGATGGGTTGGTGGGTGGGGGAGATTTAGAGAGAAGGGGGGCTGTATGGAGATCCAGAGCTTGACAAACAAACAGAAGCTGCTGTTCAGTCCAGAACAGATGTACGGATGAGATCAACTGTTGCAGATATTACTTCACCCCAACAAGGCCAAAAATGGAAAACAGCCATTGAATGGATCACCTGAACAACTCAGATTTCACCACCATCTTGGCCTCCATAAATAAGCACCACTTTTATGTTTGACTTAAGTTTAGTTGAATGAATATCACACAAGAATCACTATAGTATAGTGGCTGAGATTTCTGATTAGGATTGGGAAGTCCCAAGTTCAAGCCTTTACTTAACCATGATGTTTTAAGTGTGCGTCCATAGATCAGTAAGTATTTTTCCCACCTAATTTGTATCACAAGTTTGCAGAGAAGAATCAAATTGGGAAAGTGGTAGTCATGGGCCTGAAATTTGTTCCATTCATTTGATTCATGTTTACATTTCATTCCATCCATTCAGATGGCACAATATGGAAAGGCCCTTCCTGGAACAAAAATGCAATCATATAAAAGGCAGGCGGGAGCAGGTAGTGGCTGCAAGCCTACTTTTCAAATCTATTGCCTGGGGCCTGGCAGGGACTCTGCAGCTGATTGCCAAGTAAGGAGTGCTTTTTACGCGTCACTCAGCTGCAGGCCCTGACAGGCCTGGATCTAGTTAAAGTTAGAAATCTAGTTCTAACTTTAGACTCAACATAGACTCAAAGCACCAGGGTGCCTGCAGCTGAGCGCCGAATAAGGAGTGCTCCTTACTCGGTGCACAGCTGGAGGCCCTGCAAGCCTCCAGCTGTGTGTAGGGACAAATCGTGCACTAGTAGGCCTGGAAACTTTGGGCCTACAGGTGAAGTCCCCCCATCCAATAATGGGCCAAAGGAAAATGGATCCTTTGGGCCCCAAACAAAAACAAAGCCAAATATCTGGCCTCCCAATTTCGGGAGGCACAGACAAAAATGGATCAGGCCCCCAACGAAAGCTGGGACATGAAATGGATCAAGGTGGGTCTCAAATGCACGTGACTAGAAAGTGGGGGATGCCACATTGAGCATTTTGGAGTATATGTGGCTGAAAATACTGTATAATGAATAAGGATGTCCTTTAGCTTAGACAACTCCTGTATGTTGGGGGGAACCACTCTGTTCTTCAGACAGCAGTTTAAAAGTTTAGAATTTGCCAGGAAGTTAGGTTCTAAAAAGTGTTGGAAGTATCTAGAGGGGAAAAAAAAATCAGTGATGGGGTAAAAATATATACCCACAGTATGGGATCTCTCTCTCGCTTTCTCTCCATTCCCAAAAGTGGAATTAACATATAGACATGTATAAATCAATTTCATGAAGAAAAGCACCATAGGGCCTCTGTTGCCATTTTTCCTTCAGGCATTTGAAAGTAGCATACTAAGTAGTAGGCCTGGGTAACAACGGAAAAATTTGTTTCTAAAATCGATTCGTTTTTTGGGGTTTTTTGCGTTTCGATATTTAAAAGAATTCCGAAATTTTTCTTTTAAAAAGTTCGATATTTACGAAATTTCGTAAATGTTAAAAAAAATTACGAAACATTAACGAAACAAATACGAAACAATAACGAATCGATTCGTTAATGGCGGACGCGACCGCGCAATACGCTAAAAAAACTCCAAATGGGACAGGGGGAACTTCTGAAGCTTCCCTCTCCCTCTGTTGTTGACTGTTGGTGTGATATTATAATTTTTTTTCACTAATTAAACAAAAAACAACTATAAAACTTGGTTCGTTATCGCTTCGTTATAAAAAAATAACAAATTTTTAATGAATTACGAATTAACGAAACGAAACCGCCCAGCCCTACTAAGTAGCATTATGGCAGAGTGAGTAGAGATGGTAGGTGCTTCTTTCAGTTTCTCCCAACACAGACTAAGCTCTACTCATTGCCTTGGGAAATGGATCTAGCTTAGAAATTCCCTGGTCTAAACAGGATACCCAATTATTTTAATATTGGAAAGTTATTTTTTGGACCAGGTTGCTAAGATATTTACATTTCAGCAGACCTTTAATGGATTTTAACCAGAGCTTGGAAGACTTTTTAAACTACAGTAGCCAGATCCCATTTTTCTTCCAAAAATATCTTTCTCAAACTCTAGTGTTAACTGTATGTTTTCAATTTTGGCAGTACCATGATAGTTTGTATTGTTGTGAATCACCCTGTTAGTGTGTCAAAGATGCCAGTAAACCTCATTTACGATCTGTGAAAGGTGATATACAATGGGGCCTTGGTTCCAACTAAAGTTTGGTTCCAGGACTTCCCGTAGATACCAAAATCAGCGGATACTTAACTCCTATGATATACAAGGGTGCAGCAAAATTGTGTCCCTTATATAAAATGGAAAAACCAAGCTTTGTTTTTGCAAATGTATATATTTAAAGGAATATTTTCAAGTCAAGAATGGTTGAATCTGTAGATATGGTATCTGTGATATGGAGGGCTGACTGAATGTAACCTTTTGTAACAAAGAAAAAATTATATTGCAGAAGGATTTCACAGCTGGAATCACTGGGGTGTTGTATGATTTCTGGGCTGTATGGATGTATTCTATAAGCATTTTTGCCCTGATGTTTTGCCTGTATATACGGCTGGCATCTTCAGAGGATATTCTGAAGATGCCAGCCACAGATGATGGCAAAAAGTCAGGAGAAAATGCTGCTAGAATACTACCATACAACCCAGAAACCACACAATACTCCAAAAAGGAAATTGCTTTGCAAAGCTTTTCATGTTCACAATTGTAAGGAACAGATTATCTTTCTTGCTGTTCTTCCACTTGCTGTTGTGATTGTGATTGCGTTCATTTGTGAGACAATGCAGACTGAATAATCTTTTGTTCTGATTGTCATCATAAAAATTTGGTGGCCTTTTAGTGGCAAATCTCTGGTTGTTCAGGCATTGTTTCCACTCTGAAAGCATGCATCTTTTTCAGCACTCCCTGCAGGCTCTACATGCCAGAGCGCAATTCAGTAAAGCTACCAGTACCCCAGGGACAGCAATATAAATTCAAAGGCTGTGAAGGCAAAAGGTTGACATGCTGAAGACTAATGCTATTTTCTTGGCCATCACAGATAGTCCAAATGGATGACAGCAGGGAGCAATTTTTTGTCAAAGAGTCTCCCCTGTTTGGTAGGGAAAATGTGTAGAACAGACAAGAAGCGGAATTGAATGTGGAGGGAAAATTCTGCCTATTTTCGTAAGTAACATTGCCAACTTTCCCCCATAAGCTACCCCTTTGCTCCTTTGCCATAAAGAACAGCACGATTTATAAACATTAGGTGGTAATGCTTATATTCTCCATGCAGCCAAATGTATTGCCTGCTGTGAAACAAGCTGTTGTAGAAAGCATCCCTTGCCACAAATCAAGCATGTGCAAGAATAAGATTAGGCCAGGCTGGTTCAACCCACCCCTGGTTGCAGGGCTGACAACATTAAAACAAAGAGGTGATGTCCAAACTCCTACACACATTTTGTATGAGATGTACAGTGATCACATATAGAGGGGGAGATGGGCCCAGGGATTGACCTTGGGCTGACAAACATCTCACACTGTCCCCCCGACAAAAGGGTGGACACCTGTAACACTCATGCTTTCGCTTACCTGCTCATTGTCGCTCGCCCACCATTTCCCATACTCCCTTTTGGAGTGAAACACTCTATTTCGGACTTGTGCTGGGCCAGCTTCCTGCCTTTGTACCTAACAAATTATGACAAGGACAGGAGCAACAAAAACAAAGAGAAGTGACTGTCTGCTCAGGAGTTAACCTTACTGTGGTGGTTCTCAACCTTTGCCCTCTCTCTTCCAAAGATGGTTCTGGATTTCAGTTATCAAGAATTCCAGAGAGCAAGGTCAATGGCTGTGGATACTGAGAGTTGAAGTCAATAATATCTCCAGGGTCAAACGTTGAGAATCACATCCCTGTTGTAAAGGAGGTGTGCAAAAAAGGAGGGGAAGGTGCATGCATTGACCATGGTGAGCCATCCAAAGAACCTACCAGAAGCAGAGTCTCATGAGTGCAACTTGACTGTGCACTTGTGTTTGGCAAAATGGTCTGAAAATAGAAGACTGGGATCTCTTTGGATCAAAGTAGGCAATTATTTTATTGTGTTTTCTGCAGAGGTGGAAAAAACATCTGTTTATTATGGCATATGATTTCCCTCAACTATGTATTTTGCAGTTAGCATGCTTAGCTTTATGAACCCAAAAGAAGCAAAAATTGTAGATAGAAAGCAGTGGGTGAGAAAGTTTAAGCATTGTAATCTGACAAACATTTCTTCCAAATTGTATTGCTTATTATAACCGGACTTTGGGTTTTTTTGGCATGTGATATGCATGGAAAGTGCAAACCATGTTCAATAGATGCTTGTTGTATTTCATATGCAGGCAGTGCCCACTTTGTATGGTTTTTAAGCATGCACATAAACATTCTGCTTGCATTTGTAGTTGCTAAGTAAGACAATGTAATAATAAGACCATTCATCTACTGATGTTAATGTAAAGGATTAATGAAAGGAATTATCAGAAATATTAAATGTTAGGACAGGTTTAGGCAAGTGTTAGCTTTCCACAACCTTGTTGGATCTCCTTCACCTCAACCCTGACACCTAAATATGATTGTTTTGCTCATAAAATTAGAGCCCCAGAAGTCACATCCTCTAAATAAAGCATTTTCTAGCCTAAAAGAAGTGGGATCAAGAGTTATATTTAAATGATAAATTGCAACATGCACCCCCAACACTTATATAGGCAGAACTTGCTATTTTTGCCATCTTTCCTTAAGTTTGTACTAGGTAATAAATGTACAGGTGTTATCGCAAGTGGTTAAAGACACCTATTTGCTATAACATGTGATTTGGAGAGGTACACGTCTTTGAAGAAATCCTTCTGTGGAAAAGAAATGGTATACAGTAGAGTCTCACTTATCTGACCTTCACTTATCTGACATTCCATCTTATTTGACGCTCTTATCTGACACCCCTCCTTTTCCTCCAGGATTTTCCCTTCAATTAAAAGAGTGCTCGCTAACTCTCTCTCCTCATTCTCAATAAGTGAAAAAGGCAAGACAAGGAGGAGAAGGGGGGAGGAAAGGGGGAAAAGAGGAATGTCCAGAAGTGGATGCGTCCTCCCTCCTTCCTTCTGTGATTTCCATGCTCTTCTTCTGCACCCAGACACTTCTTGCTGGGCTGCATTAGCACTGGGGCATTGCCTTGTCTTAACACTTTGAGTCCCTGTTAGTATTCTATGGGTGTAGTACCACATCTGATGGGTAACAGTAGGAGACTCAGTATTATCCAACTTTTTCATTTATCTGATGTTCTGCTGGCCCGTTTATGTTGGATAAGTGAGACTCTACTGTACATGCATGTTTGTCTAATCTCTAGTTTTACCCTATATTATTTTAATAAAATAAAAGTTGAGGTGCTCATGTTGCATTCCAAAGAGCAAAACTATAAATACTGTTGGAGTTAAACATAACAATGTCATAAACATTGACTAAGAATCTCAAACTTCCCAAACACTAATGTGACGAGCCAATGCATCCCAGTCCACCGAAATATTAGCTTAGCATGAATTCAGAATGCATGACCAAGTGGCATTTGTGAAGTAACATTTTGGAACAGTTACCATTAAAAAAGCTGTGTCTGTGTAAAGTGGTGCCAAGATTGCAGGTTGCAACTAAGAACCATGCAATAAAGATCAACTGATGTATCTATACATACTAACACAGGTTGGTTCCTGCTATGAATGAAAAAACAGAAGGCTTGGGCAGCAGCTGAAATCACTGAAAAATACAAAGGAAGTAAAACTCAGTCATGCAAGTCCTTTCCTTTTGTATAGATTCTCAGTAAGGGAGGGGAGTAAAGGTATCAGGAAGGAATCAAAAAGAAAAATGTTCAACCATTTTCTGAATATTTTCTCCTATTTCTAGCCAGGTCAGAAGAGAGAGATGGGTTCAAGAACATCATGTAAGTTCTGTGGCTTGGTGTGATTTGGACTTGGATTTTCTATCTTTCAGGTCAGCATTCTATCCACTACACTACACTGGAACTTGAACATTCCCAGGCTCTCAACTGGAATACTTTGTTTGTCTGTTTGTTTTGTTTGTTTTTAATGCAATACAAGTATTTGGTTCGCTCCTGACACGATAAATAAATAAATAACTGGAATACTGTGTCCAGTTCTGGGCACCACAATTTAGGAAAGACATTGACAAGTTAGAACATGTCCAAAGAAAGGTGACCAAAATGATCAAAGATTTAGGTTCCAAGCAATACAAGGTAGCCAGGTTTGTTTAACTTGTGACCCATCTACGCTTCTAGAACATGCAGTGTAGATGTCGCACCCTGGCGCATTCCCAAAGCAGATTGTCCCAGGGTAAATGTTTTAATGCAGTTTACATGTGGATTAAAAAATACCAGGTCTTCCTTGAATAATAGAATCTTTGTGGGTGTTGAGGCGGTGAAGTTTGCCATCTAGGATCACCATCCTGATGATGACACAGGGCTTTAGAGAGGGGAGTGAAGAAGGAAATGGATAACCTACAAGAACAGTAAAGTGGCTTTCTATGGATTGTGTGCATGTGTGTGTGGAGGGGGAAAACGGAAGCAGAGATGGAAGGGAGACACTTGCCAGCTAAGCCAATCTGGTGTCAGCATGGTGGGTCTATATGGCCACTCCCCTACCAATGAGGAAGGGTTTTGCACCTGCGTGAGGTCTCAAAATGTGGCTCGAACTGGCACTTTTAATGCTGCTTCATTCTGCATTTTGGGGGATGTATATGAGCCTTGAAGAAGGTTGAGAAGGAATATGATAGTCATGGTTAAATATCTGAAAAGATGTCATACTGAGGATGAGATAAACTTTTTTTCTCCTGATCTGGAAACTAGGATATGGGACAATAGATTTATATGGTAGGAAAAGAAATTCAATTTAAACATTAGGAAGAACTTTCTGATGGTTAGACCTGTTTGACAGTGAATTAATTTTATTTTTGGATTTGTTTTTTGAAATTCTTATTTCAATTTTTTCCCCTCTAGAGTCTGCTATGTATACATAATTACTTCAAGAAGCCAATTCCCATTGCATGCATACTGTATAGTGCTATATTCCGCTTTAGTTACCATGGGAACACCCTGTGGAATTCTGGGTTCGTACTTTGGTGAAGTTTTATTCCTCTTTCTTTGAGAATTCATAATACCTCCTCCCTAAATAGCAAATGCCAGGATGCTATGGGATGTTGCCATGACAATGAAATCAGAATATGACATTGTATTTGTGTATTGTGAGTAGCCCAAAGGAGAACTCTTTTAGAATTCTTTCAAGGTCCCAAATGGATATTTGTACTTCAGATTTGTGGCAACCTTCCATTTTTTGTGGCTGTAATTATTTCCTCAAACCACCTTAAGAATTCTGGTTATCACCATTTATTTCTATATTCCACTACCAGAAATTTTCCAACCTAGCAATCTGTAAGTATGACAGCCCCCAAGTTCCATTATTTTGGGGCTGATGAGAGTTCAAAATATTTAGAAGGCATTGGGCAAGAGAAGATTGCTCTGGTCTATCTACTGCAGTGGTTCTCAACCTTCCGAATGCCATGACCCCTTAATACAATTCGTCATGCTGAGTTGACCCCCAACCATAACATTATTTCCATTGCTACTTCATAACTGTAATTTTGCAACTATTATGTATCATCATATGAATATCTGATATGCAGGATGTATTTTCATTCACTGGACCAAATTTGACACAAATACCCGATATGCCCAAATTTGAATACTGGTTGGGTGGGGTTGATTTTGTCATTGGGAGTTGTAGTTGCTGGGATTTATAGTTCACCTACAATCAATGAGCATCCTAGACTCCATCAATGATGGAATTGAACCAAACTTGGCACACATAACTCCCATGACCAAGAGGAAATACTGGAAGGGTTTGGTGGGCACTGACCTTGAGTTTTGGAGTTGTAGTTCACCTACATTCTGAGTGCACTGGGGTCTCAAACAATGATGTATCTGGACCAAACTTGGCACAAATACTCAATATGCCCAAACGTGAACACTAGTAGAGTTTGGGGGAAATAGACCTTGACATTTGGGAGTTATAGTTGCTGGGATTTATAGTTCACCTACAATTAAAGACTATTCTGAACCTCACCAACGATAGAATTGGGTCAACCTTCCCACACAGAACCCCCATGACGAACAGAAAATGCTGTGCTTTCTGATGGTCTTTGGCGACCCCTCTGACACCCCCTCGCAACCCCCCTCGGGGTCCCGACCCCCAGGTTGAGAACCACTGATCTATTGGAAACACAGTTGTTAAACCTGTTTTAAGTCTGTGAAGCAAAAAATGCCCCGAGAGGACTCTCTTTGAAGAATAAGAGCATCAGGTGGTATTTTCTCTAAGGAGGGAAAATGTTAAATTAAAACATGTTTGGGTTCCTATGAAGATGATTACTATATCATATACTATCAAACTCTAGTCATGTGTTTGATTGCTGAAATAGTGGTATTTCATTATAAAAGCAAGACAAGGGAGCATAAGTATGGTAAAGAATAATCAAAGCAAAGGTAGGCAAGTGTTGTTCTCCAGATGCACTTGGCACTATTCCTCATCGCTAGCCAACACAGTCAATTGTGACAGATTACAGGAGCTGCAATTTAACAATCTCAAAAAGTTGGTCATACCTG